TTTCTGTTAATTGCACAGAACTGCCTGACAAAAAGGAAGCCCAATGGAGTATACTCTACTGTATACTATAGAAGTGGAGACATTGGGAGATATTAAACTAGCTTCAGGTGATCCAAAATCTAGTCTACCGCTGCCACCCAGGATTTTTTGCTTGCTGCCAAGATATTTTCTTTTAATTATACGTAGCTCGGCAATTTTGTGAGATGCGTGAAATTACAATGCAATTTAAGTTTCATCATCGCCCACGTTGGTGATTAGAAGAAATGTTCAAAATATTCGAGTTGCTGATCGGCGCTACCAGGTGATTCAGAGAAGACACAGGTGTGCCTGGTTTTGCCTACTCGCTTTGCCCGTAAGGCACCATGGCCCCGTAGGCAAAGCCATTTCTCTGAATCCCCTAGTACATCTAATCAACACGTCCCTGCTGCACGCCATGGATGTGGAACATCGCCACCTCGATCGCCACCACGTCCACAGTACAGCAGGGTTAAAGCCTCTCTTGAAGGGACGTGGGCGTGACGAGTCGGACCTGATTGCCTCCTGATGACTACCCTGCCTCCTATTATTGTCTGTCAGGTCACCGGCTCGGGCGCCGCCGTGACTGACTAATCAGCAGCCGTTTGCAAGGCGCGACCGACTCTTGCCAGCGACTGTCAACTGACTCACTTGGCCCGAATGTCAAATCGGACGAATTGTTGACTGCGTCGCTGCGCCCGCCGGCGTCCCGCTGTCCGCTGTCACCCCCGTCCGAGATTCGGTCCAAGCTGCGCGTCAACGGTATTGGCAGTGACCATATACCCTTGCGACGTTAGGCTGACGGTATGCAAGGGCGAGAAATCATTTGAGACATCCCCCTTTTATCTCACACTACGCGGACTGTAGTGCCGCACACTTGTAGTGTGTCAATTTCACACTCTTGTTGGTAGGGGTCTAAATGCCGCATACTCGTAAAGGGGTATCAATCTCGCACAATTGTATGTGTGTGAATGACTCACACTTGTAGTAAAAAGTGTGAACGCCGCACACTTGTAGTAAAAAGTGTGAACGCAGCACACTTGTAGGCGTGTGAATGCCGCGTACTTGTAAGGGGTGTAAAAGCCGCACACTTGTCACGGTAAAAACGATGTCTCATTCTTCGAGCGAAAAGGGAAAACTTTCAGAAACTCCCTTAGTTTAAGGAAATCTCAGATGGAAGTCTCCCAAAAAAATGTGGCATTTTCCCTCACTTTTTGAGAAGATTCTTCCAAATCTGAGGTGAGAGTTAGAGGAGTTTTCCTCAAATATGACACTGTGAGAAATATATTTGTACATGTACGATATATTTTGTAATTTGCCATTTACAATACGAGTCGTACATGTACAACCTCCCGCTGTCGCTCGATATTCGATTCCAAGTCGATTCATAGGGCTAGTAAATTTTACAATTTTTGATTGTACTTGTACGACTTCTTCCATGGAAAATTTTCCTGTACCCGGTACGACAATTTTTCACAGTGGAGAGTTCCTGCAAGTTTTCCCTTTTCCCTCAAAAAATGAGACGTGGTTTTTACCGTGCGTCTGCGAATGCCACACTGCAAAATGCTTGCAAAGAATAGGTTCGTATTGCAAACTATTTTCTTTGCAGCTTGCAAAGAATTTTCAAGCATCGTAATACAAACTAGTTCTTCGCAAGCTTGCAAACTATTTCTTTGCAATGCAAACACATTGTTTGCAAGGATTCTGTCAGTTTGCAAAGAACTTCTTTGCAATACGAACTAATTCTTTGCAATACAAAGCTAACAAATTCTTTGCAACGTTGCAAAGAATATAGTTTGCAAGCATTTTACAGTACACACAGGAGGCGCCCTCCTCTTTACCGACAGGCGCCCCATACCACCACGTCGCCGCCGCCGTTGCCCTCGGCGTCGTGCACGTTCGGGGTGTCCCCCCTCCCTGTGCCGCAGGTGTGACGCTGCCCTTGGCCAACCTGCCGCGCTCCGCGGTCCAGTGACGCTGCCCAAGGGCGCTGCTTGGGGATGCCCCCGTCCCGTTCCACCCGCGCGGGCCTCCGCCCCCTCGGCGCTGCCGCCGCCCCCGCTCCCCGCCGCGCCCCG